CCGAGTTGACCGAGTCACCGGCGAGTCACCGGACTCCGGTCACCGGTCCGGCGAGGACGCGGCGGCTTACCGGCGGTCAACGGCGGCGGCGGCGCGGCGGAGGTGCGGCGGCGGCGGCTTCCCGGCGGCGGTCGGACGGTGGCGCGTGGGCTTCACGCGCGGCTGCTCCGGCGTCAGACGGTGGCGCGTGGATCACACGCGCGCGCGGCGGTCGATCTTCGGCGGGCGCGTGACGGCGGCTCCGGTGTCGGATCTCGGCGTTTTCGGGGTCTACGGCTTCGTCTCGACGAGTAGAACACGATGGTGGCCTTGCATGCAATAGATTCTCAACGGTTAGGAAGTTATGGTCGATTTACTAAACGGATAAAACTAACTTAAAGCTCATGGTTTCAAGGGGGTTTCGCGGTGGTTACCTAGGCTGGGGGTCGGGGGTGACGAGCTGGACGGGTACTCTGGACGTGGTGGCTCCGGCGACAAGCTCAGGCGAACCTCTCTCTACAAAACCAAACACTCTCTCAACTCTCTCTCTCTAAAATTGCTTTGCTTGCATGAAATGGAGTGTCTTGGGGAAGAAAAAGGGCTTTTATACTAAGTACCTTGGGCTATTTCGAGTGGGCCTTGGGATTGGGCTGGGAATTGTGAAATTGATGGGTTTGGGTCATGACAATTCTCCCCCACTAATACGGAATTCGTCCCCGAATTCGAGTCGAGCGTCGGCTGGCCGATAACATCTCGAAACAGCTCTGGAAAATCAATCCTCATCTGCGGCTCAGACTCCCAGGTCTCCTCCTGGATCCCGTCTCTCTCCCAACGAACCTTGACCATCATGGTCATCATCCCCTGATCCGCTCTCACTTGTCGATCCACAATCTCTATTGGCTGACATACGGCGGATAAGTCTCTACGAAGATCACTGGGCGGCTGCTGCAGAATGAGCTCTGGCTCTCTCACGACTTTCCTCAAAACTGACACATGAAACACATCGTGGAAGTCCGATAACTCTGCCGATAAACGCAATCTATAAGCAACTGCTCCAATCCGCTCCAAAATAGGAAATGGTCCCATATATCTCGGCTTAAGCTTCTTCAGCTTCCGAGTCGTAGATCCTCCCTGAAACGTCCTCATCTTAAGGTATACCAGGTCGCCAACCTGAAACTCTAAATCCTTACGCCGCATATCGGCGTAACTCTTCTGACGATCATGGGCTTTCTTAAGCCGTCTCTTGAGCATCTCAACTTGCTCTACCGTCTCTTGAACCATTGCCGGTTCTATCTCACGTCGCTCTCCCACTTCTGTCCAACAAAGCGGGGTACGACAAGGTCTACCATAAAGAGCCTCATACGGTGCCATCTGAATACTCGAGTGATAGCTGTTGTTATAAGCAAACTCCGCTAGGGGTAGGTACCTCAACCAACTACCCTTCCAATCCAAAACACAAGCTCGGAGCATATCCTCCAACGTC